CGTAGTTGTGTATGGGATTTTTTTTGGGGGGGGGAGGGTGGGGGGAAATTTTTGGTCCAGGGATTTTTTAGGCTTTTGATTTTTGCTCCCATTCGAACATCCACGTCACTTTAAACCGTTAATACCCCCTGAAACTTGCTGTGGTAAAAGCTTTGTTCGCACTTCTGATAAATAAAATAAGAACTACCGTGATAAAAAAAATCGAAAAAATTAATTGAACGTTTTGAATGGCAAGAAAATTGAATTGCGAGGATTAAGCGAAGGTCTATTTGCTGAACTGATTCAGTTTTCGAGAAGGAAAACCATTTGAATTAAGAAGCTTGTCTTTAGTGGACCCGGCTAATTAAGGACGAGTTTTAAAATTTGTGCTAAAGGACCACAAGTCAAGGATGGAAAGTCTGTCTTAGATGGAATGACCGTCTTAAATAAATCCGCATGGGCTCGTTCTCTCTCTGTCTCTGTTTTTTTTTTTTTGCTAAGGGGAAAACACGAACTACATCAGACAATTGCTTCTGGTAGAGAAAAAATTGTGCTGAAGATATTGCGACTTAGAAATACGAAGATAATGAAGAAGGTTTTTCAAAAACAGTTCAATTAATTGTTAATTAAAATACCTTACGTTAGTTTCTGACCCTATCAATGCACTCACGGGAATCGCAAAAAAGCGATAAAAAAAAAAAAACAGGAAACTTTTCGACATCACTAATTATAGTGTGGCTTGTTTAGAAAGTGCACAAATAACATGGCATTGAACAATATTATATGCTTGTTACAGGTAAGAAAACCTTTCACTAAATAAACGATGTAATTGATCAGATTTAGCCTACCTGTATTTTCACGGAGGAAGAACTTCTCTGTTTCGCTTCACTGTAGCTGTTTCACTCAGTCGTATCTTGATATGATGATATGAAAGGGGCGTCAACTGATTATAAAGACTTTGGCAAATCATGTGATCAAAAGGACACGACGCAATAGGTTAATTTTATTTTAAGAAAATTTCTGTGATGACGTTCTGCCTAAAAATATGTCTTATTCGTAACAATTTAAGAAAATGATATAAACAAAAGAATATGACGCAAGAATGTTTTATTTAAAGAAAATGTGTTTGATGACATCCTATCGAAAATAAAACTGTTACTTGGCAACTTATAAACTGTTACACACATATACAATATTTCGCTTTACAATATTTCTCTTTCATGCATTCTCTCTCTTTCGTAGTTAAATCTGTAATATTTTCTAAAGCAAAACCCCTGGAGTCAACCAGAAATAGTATTCCATGCCATCTCAGTGTGACAATAAGAAGAAGGAAGCCATACACTATACCAGTTCAGAAAAAGTGCAAATTCCAGTTTTCTTGTGAAAATGAGTTTTATTTACATGAGAATAAAAAAAATTTTCATATCAATGACTTTGCACTTAGCCCCGCTTTGAAACAGAGGCTGAGGCCGGCTCGGTAGTAGACTATTGGTGAGGACTCATTTGTCTCTTACATTGTTTTGCTCATAGTAACCTACGCGTTGTTTTTTGCTCATATCTACTTAGATCAAAAGACTCACAAAAATCATTTTGACTCTAAAAAGTCAAGAATATCTCAAACTGAAGCATTTGAACTGCAATCGGTGACAAAATTGTTGAGCAGTGTACCCGTGGGTAACTTCAGAGAACTATTCTCTCTTGAGAGAACAAAACAAGTCACACCCATCACCTCTTTCTTTCATTCAAGATATTTGTTGTTTTCTACAGGTACCTTGTGGTAAATTTCGTGCCACAAGGCAACTCGAACAGCCGAACAACATTGCATGGGGGAGATGAGAGAAGAAAAGCTTTATTTTGTCCTTTTAGCCGTCAGTAAAACGGCAGAAAGGTCTTTTAGGGAAAAGTGTCTCATCTAATTTTGTCGCTGATTGTGGTTTCTTCCTTGCGGTCCAAACGCTAAGAAGCTAAACAGTCACGAGAAGGAAATGGCTTTTAAAGACTTTCTTTAAAAATATTTTAACTTTTTTCTCGGTAGCTATTTATCTATCTTACTCTTTAGAGTAACCTGATATGATGTAAGGCCGTGTTTCATTTTCTAATGAAACTACCTCTTATTTATTTAGACCGTATTGGCACTTAATTATCTGGTTCTTTAACGTTTTGCGCGATTGTAAAAAAAGAACTTTCGAAATTAAAGATTCCGCAAATAAACATTCTCGCGAAATTTTATACCGATATAATCCACATAGAAAATTCAAATCACGGAAGAAAATAAAAAAACATGTATTAATAAAAACTCAGTATACACAGCCATGATCATCAATCGATTTATATATATGAGAGTTTCTCCAGCTCCAGGGCATGAAATTTAGTTGTATGAATACACGAAGCTCTTACTTCGAATCCGACGCCCGGTCGCTAAGCGCTTGTTGCTCGTCTTATTATTTGGGCGTCGCCCAAATAGAGTAGTTGCAATAGGCACGCAATGCGTGCGAACGTAAACAAGCCAAGCGACGCGAATGTCTGCCACGCGATGTGTCACGATACAGCATTCATCCTCGTTACAATATGTCCCAGAGCTAACGCACGGCAAACACCGACGTGAAACAGACTATTAACTTCTTAAGCACATCGCTCGTTAATAATGCAATGTTTCAAAGGATTAAATGAATTTCCCTATTCAAATAAATTCGCAATAGATATCAGTATCGGCGTTATTTATTGTTTTTAAGTATACCGAAAAAAATCATATTTTTTATGTGGAACTCAACGGATTACCGCGTGACTTTCCACGAGTTTTGCTAATTTACTTTATTAGAATGACAATCAACTAGTAATAACCAAAGGGTACTGAGTGTGGGCGACAACGATCGAAAGTCAAAACTGACTCATCTCCATTCTTCTCAATTACGTGAATGAAGCAGTCTCGCAAGATGAATAAGTTGAGAATGTGTGAGCGCTGTTTTCAGCTCTTGGCTCAAGCAAAGGGGTCATATAAACGCACGCTCAAGTTGACTTGGCTGGGAGGCCAGGCAGTGACCCTATTTCCCGGGACAACTTTTCTCCATAGAAAAGGAAGAGGATAAAGTTAATTAGTAAAATCCAACTAGTGGTCTATATATTATCAATGCTGCGTTCTGATTGGTTGAGCTACCACTAGACTATATGTTATAGCCCACTAGTAGCGAAAAGCGTCGACTTTTTGGCGGCAAAAAAGGATTCAAGTTTAGCTTTAACTAGGTAAAGTTGG